TAAAAAGAATTTTAATGTAGGTGGTGGTAATGTGCGTACGTTAACATTATTTTTATTTTGACGCATCAAAATTATGTTAAAATCCAACAATATCAATGCGAGATCGAGCATTGAAAAAATAAGATGTTGACTTCTTACTCGTTTTGAATTTTGTCCCCCTAGGGGAGACTAATACATGCACGTAGCTGGCTCAATTTCTTTGTTACTAGCTGTACAAGGAATTATAATTCATCTTATCGATAAAAAGATATTTATATCTGTATTTGAGAAACTTCGTCCATATTGAGTTGAATCCTCTCCCAAACAAGTGACATTACATTCCCATGGACGATCGCCACACAGTTTGAAACGCAACTGGCTCTGTCGACTTACAATCGAATCGACGAAACCGGAGCTTCGTCTTTTGTCTACGAAAGTACAGCGTAGGCATTGTCAGGACCGACTTACGACTCCTCCCTCGTAGGACTATAGTCCATTGTTCGTGCTTATATTGTATTTAAGCATTACGAGTCGGGCCAGTTTAATTGTTATTGTTTCGCAGCGCTTATCGAACACGCTGCTCTGCTGCATTCCCACGCGAGTCATCGCCTGGCCTCGTAATTACTCGAAAATCATTAAACTTCCACGACCGGTTGTTCCGTACGAAATGCGCCCGGCAGCTCATGCCATCATTAATAGAAACGTTACCGGGTAATCTCTCCGCGCAACGAGGTATAAAACGGTGGAAGAAATTAACGATAGGAACGATATATCATACCGGCTCGTTATGATTGTATTTCCGACAAACGAGAGTCCCCCTTATCGCACGCGTTGCGTCTCTATGCGCGCTGTTAGCGAAGACAGGGCGAGCATTTCGATGTTCGTCCGCGACCGCCGTAGCAGCAATGCAAAGTTAACTCTCGCGTTACGAATTCACGCGTCTCCGAGGGTGGTAGAGAGATTCGTGTTAGCGGTAGTTATGCGGTATATAGGAAGGTCGAGTGGAAAGAGGCGAGCCGGGCCGGCGTTAGAAGGGAGCGGCCATTTTGTTTCCGGTGTCCCGGGAGCACTTCCGGTCACCGTCACGCAGTTCTGCGTCGCGAAGTGCCCCCGAGCTCCTGAGATCTCCTTTCACGATTATATTCAAATTAAATGCGGGAGTCTGACCGGTAATATACTGCCGCCAATTTAGCTACAACCCCCCGGAGGGTGGTTCGCCTTACCTCCGTTCGCCACTGGACATCCGACCTCAGTGTCCCTGGAAGAATCCGCGGTTTCTACCTTCTATTAATCGACCGTGCCAAAAGTCTGACCGACTCCGCCGGCTACGCGAATCTGAAAAGATCTCGCAGACGAGAGCTGACGTCGGTAATCGGACACCAAAGGCATCGATCACCGACCGAAGTTTCGATAATGATAGGAAAAACGACACCGAGTGGACTTTTGTGATCGCCGGCATAAATGCACGGCAGACAAGGAATTCGCTTCCGGTTTTCGGATGCAAAACTCGAGCGGCGTATCGCGTTCAAGCGCCGCTGCATCCGAACAGTAGGGGTTTCAGTTGCACCATTTTCAATGGTGATAATCCGAGGGCCTCGTTGCACGAACCAAACCGAGCTTTGTCACCGGATAACCTAGACTCGCATTGCCAGCTCCGGTAGCGGCACCGATAGACCCCTCTTCCCACCCCTTTTCTCCTCTAACCATCCCCGGTATCACTCATCCTCCTTCGCGCACCTCCTGTTCCACACCCATCCCCCGGACGCGTTTCATCCCCCTCGTCGAAGCTACCTCCGAAAGCCAGCTCTGTGTAGTCGAACATTGCCTCTT